TGCTACGCAGCTACCTCACTGACCTATTCATTGCAATACCCCAAAGGACTGTCTTCGTACATACTACCTCCCTGGACAGCTGGATGGGAAGTAAGGCTCAAAAATGTCAAGGAAGTCTGTTCCCTACCTCCTCCATAATTGCCCCATTTCACCCCCCCCCCCCCCCCCCCGCCACACTGAACCAGCCTTTAGCTTCTGTCTTCTGGCCCCTTGAAGAGGCAGTATGTTTCTTTTGGCCTCAACCATACTGTTTCCTTTGCCTGAAAGGGTTTTCTCTCCCTCACGTTTCCTCTTCTTCATCTAGTGATCCTTGAACTCACCTGCACACACCCCCACCACAGCAGATTTTTTAAAAAATTTTCATACCTTTCCTTCAGAGAACTAATCATGGTTTGTAACCATGCAGAGATTTATGCCCATTACTAGGTTCTATGAGGGAAGGAAGCTTACCATTTTTTTTTAAATCATGGCATGGTCCCCAGTGTCTAAAAGAGTAGTGGATGTGTAGTAGTTGTTAAGAACTATGTGTTGAAAGGGCTGGGAAGGTAGCTCAGTGGTAGAGTGCTTGCCTTGCATGCCTGAGGCCCTGGGTTCGATTCCTCAGCACCACATAAGCAAAAAGAAAAAAGCTGGAAGTGGTGCTGTGGCTCAAGTGGTAGAGCACTAGCCTTGAGCTGAAGAGCTGAAGGAGAGTGCCCAGGCCCAGAGTTCAGGCTCCACGACCAGGTCCCCCCTCCCCCCCCCCTCACCCCGCCAAGAAAAGAACTACGTGTTGAAAGAATATGTAAGTGTCTTTATTTTTTGCTGAACTCACAAGCTCCACGAAGGAAGCATATATTTGTGTGTGTGTGTGTGTGTGTGTGTGTTTTCTTTTGTTTGTTTGGGGACTTGAACTCAGCTTTTTTGTTCAAGGCTAGTACTTCACCAGTTGAGCCACAGATATACTTCTGGCTTTTTGCTGCTTAATTGTAGATAAGAGTCTCATGGCCTTTTTGTCCAGGCTAGCTTTGAACAGTGATCATCAAATCTCAGCCTCTTGCGTAGCTAGATTTATAGACGTGAGCCACCAATGTCTGGTCAGCATGTGTTTAGTTTTTTTGTTTGTTTTTTTGTTTGTTTGTTTGTTTGTTTTTGCAGACCATTGAATCCCTAAAGCAAGACCTACAGAGGATCTACCATAAAGCAGGTACTCAAACAGTATATGAATAAATGAAGAAGAAAAACAATATAAGAAAAAAGAATAATAAGAGAGAGATGTAACTAGTAATGGCACTCATTTACACTCAAAACTATCTCCATTGGGACAATCAATTATATAATCTCCTTAATCATATCTCATTAAGGTTTCAATTGTTTTTTATTTTATTTTATTGTAAAGATGCTGCACAGAGGGGTTACAGTTACGTAAGTAAGGTAATGAGTACATTTCTTGTTGAACATTGATACCCCCACACTCATTTTTCTCCAACTTTTCCTCTTCCCTGACTCCCCTTCCGCTCCCCCACCCCAAGTTGTCTAATTTATTTCCAATTCACTGTCTTGTGAGTATCACTGTTGCATTGATTCACCTTTGTCCTTTGCTGTGCCATTTTTTTATTTCCCTTCCTTTTCCCAAATCAGATAAACATATATACAAGACACAGGGTATCAAAATAAAAAAGAGTGACGACAGGAGATAAGCCAAAGGAGGGGTGGGAACAGAAGAAAAAAGTTTTGTGTTTTTAATGTACTGCTTCAATTATTTTAGGCCAACGAGCAAGGAAGGTATTAGGACTTGGAGATTTCCCTTATCTCTACAAAGGAGTCCAAAGGCAATCAAAAAGGCAAAACCATTCCATATTTTATGTTTCCTGAAGAATCTCAAAGAGTGTCAGAGTGGGTTCTGTAAACAGCTGCTCTGGAAACTTGCATCTGGTCTTTGTTTCTTAGTTATACTGATAGAAAATTAAAACATCTTCAAAACATTCCCCTACCCATTAAACATACAAATGCACACACACACACAGAGATGAGGATGCATACCCCTTTGAATATACACAAAATATATGCTCATATTATGCCAGAATAATTGCACAAAGATGCTTGTTTCTAGGTATGGATATAGACACTCTCAACGTATGAATATGATGTGGCAAATATGCATAAATATGCACGTACATATGCAAATATATGCACATTTGACAATATATATAACAAGCATTTATTAACATATGAGCATGTCCATTCTTTTATTCATGCATCATCCATTAAAAAAATATATATTGATTGTCCCCTGTGTGTCGGGGTCTGTTCTAGATGCTCAAGTAAACAAACTAGACAGATATTCTACCCCCAACCCAGACACACAAAACACAACAAGTAGTTATATTTCGATAGGAACACTGAAAAACAGTAAATTAAATGAAGTTTTAAGTGGTAGGTTGGAATAAGACAGAATAAGAACATAGGCTAAAATGAGAGTTTGCAATTTTACAGGAGTGACCTACTGCTTTATTTAGATTTCATTAAGAAGCTGGCATATGGGCAGGGACTTAAAGGAAGTGAACAAATAGTTTATATCAGATCTGATGGGAAGAGTGTTCTAGATACAGGAAACAATCAATGAGAAGATACTGAGATGGGAATGTACCTAACATTTATGGGAATAGTTTGGAAAATAAGGACAAAAGGGAAAGATATTAGAGCAACAGATAATGTAGTGAGAGATGATGCGGATCATCTATGTGCTGTATAATGTAGAGGGATTTTATACATAATTGCTATGCATGCAACATACGCATACTTGATGTTTTCCTTTTGTGTTTTAAATGTACTTTTAATCCTATACATGCTTTATTCTCTAAATATATGGTATAAACACATGGAAAATAGAGAGAGTCTATAATACTCATGGGACAGTTTGTATCTTCTATAAGTCCTAACTATGGTAATAGATCATATGCATCCATTGTGCAAGTGAATGTACACATGGATTATGAACAGAATCCTGTACTATGTGTGCATGTATATTTATATGTTACACTGTTGTGCATACCTACCTCTAGTTAACATCTGCATCACTTCAGATGAACAGAAGTTCTCTTCAGATACCAAGTAGAAAGCAGGTACACATGCTAATCTTCCTGAGACTTCTTCCTCCATCTCAAGCCAGAAAGCATTGGCACTGAAAGAGCAAGCAAATATCAACAGAATTCATAGACAATGGATCTTCAGTCATGAAGCTAGAGAAAGCACCACAGCCATGATCATCTGATTCTGAAGCCCATTTAAGAGCTCAACAACACTGATAAATTACTGGTCCTATTCCAGTGTTCACTCACTTACCATGGAGTTAGAAGTGCCAGCCTATTTTTATCACATCTGACAAGAGAAGTTTTTTTTTTTCTTTCCTGTATGTTTTTTAGTTCAACTTCTTTCAGGCAAATAAATTGCTGATCCATTTAGATTTTAATTTGAGATTCTACTCTTAAAGACCTTGTTTATGGGGTGAGATGTGAGGTATGGTTTTAGATTTTTCATTTTCCATACTTGCCAAAGTTGTAAACCTAAAGCCAAGTTAATTAAAGTCAATGGAGAATGTATTTTTTATTAAAGTTTTCCTTTCTATTGATTTTCCCCTCTCATACAAATAGTACAAACTTGGTTCTCAAAATAAAAAAATACCATAGAGCAAAGAAAAGAAACAATCAGACTCTTAAGATGATTTTGAGACACCAACATAGGATTACAGAGATGGCTAAGATTTCAGAAGTGACTAAGCTGGCAAGATGATGACAATCTAGGTCAGCTAAGGACAGACAGATCCATCTATGTGCCCACTAATGTCTGTGAAGCTAGACTCCCAGGTACATTTGGCTTATGAAAGCTATGTTGGTTTCTTCACACTGCAACCATAGACGACTGTTTTAACCGGTAGTTTTTCTTCTCGATCTATTCTCTAGTCTATTCTCTCGATCATTTTCTATCCAAAAGCTAAATACACCTTCCGAAGGATTAATTCTGGTGATATCACTTGTGGTCTCAGAGCCTTCAATGACTTCTTCTAACCAAGGGTCACAGGATAAAGTTCACAAGATAAAGCCAATAAATGATTTATTATTATAAATAAAGTTTTATTAAAACATAGCCATGTTCATTTGTTTATGGATTTTTTCCATGGATGTTTTTTCATAATGACAGCAATGCTGAGTAATGTGACAGAGACCATAAGGGCTGCACAGTCCAAAATATTTACTCTCTGGCTCTTTGTAGAAAGAATGTGCCAATCCCCACTCTACCCCATTTAATAAGAATCATAGTCTCAGGCTAACATTAGAAAACAACTACAATTTGGCTTCCCACTTTAATTACTATGCACCTTCTTAATATCACCCATATTAAAATCAGTTTGGTCTATTTGATATTCCATCAAACACATAATAGCAGGATTAAATTGATCCTTCTGGCAATATCACCGCCCCCGCTCCCCAAACCTACTCAGAAAAGAACCGATAGTTAGATCAGCAATCTGAGTTTTCCATGATGGGAGTCATTTCCATCACTTTTCCTCTTTATCATGATTCATTCTAAAAATAGTATATGACCAATGCTAGACCAGTAAGATATCATTCTAGACTTTGGAGGGAACTATTGGGAATGAGAAATTCTTTTTTTCTACTAGGTCCTTAAGTATGCCAACTATAATTTAGCACTGGGAAATACTATCCTGGGAATTAAACCAATACAGAGGGAAGCAAAGCCAAGACATGGAGAAAGAAAAGAATTCAGTTCTAAAGGTATATTTTTTTTCAGGTACCCAGGTAAAGCTATGCCTGAAGCTAGACTGCTCTCCTACTCTCTTTTACATAAAGTGGAAAGATGTCTCTTTTTTTGAGGCAATTTGAAGGACTTCTGTCACTTGCAGTTGAAATACTGTTGACTTAAGGACAGGAATTTCGTATCTTCACGTTTTTGCTCTATTCTCTTCCTCTGTATACCTTCTCTCTATGTCTTCCTGACACTATTTAATGGAATGTTGCACAAACTTGTATACCATCCTTGCTCAAGAGCCATGCTAATCTTCTCTGTATTGTGCCAGCTCTGTGATACATGCTGCTGAAGGGCGAGCCTAACTGTATTTTATTCAGCGTAAAAGAGCTATCTCAAACCTCTTCTTTGTAAGAACTCCCTGACCACTAAATGAAATAAAATCTCTCTAGCTGTTGAGTCTCACAGCATCATCTGATGCTACACCTTGTACCACATCCTCGGTGCATGAAAAAGGGTGTTGAATACACAAATACCTGGTGTGGAAACAATACTTCCTTTAATCGTTGTATTGCAGGTGGTGTAGGCAAATAGGAAGTGCTTCCGATGGAATCTCATAAAATTAAAATAATAAGCCTTGTGCTGGTGGCTCACACCTGTAATCCTAAATACTCAGCTGAGATCTGAGGATCACAGTTGGAAGCCAGCCTGGGCAGGAAAGTCTGTGAAACTCTTATCTCCAATTAACCACCAAAAGCCAGAAGTAGGGCTGTAGTAGAGTGCTAGCCTTGAGAACAAAAGCTCAGGGACAGTGCCTAGACTCTGAATTCAAACCCCAGGACCAGCACAAAAGATAAATCAATAAAATACTCTTTTTTTAAATTTTGAGTTAATGTACATTTGAAATATGGGAGGTTTTTGTAATATTTCCATACATGCATACTGTGCACTTTGAACATATTCAGACTCTTATTCCCCCTGCTCTTTTCTCCCTCTTCTCTGTCAAATAACATTTGGTGGGCTTTATCATATCTGTGTGTGTGTGTGTGTGTGTGTGTGTAAAACACCCATCCTCTCACTCCCCCAGTATCCTCTCCTTCCCTCTTTCCTCTCCTGTTGATCCCTTCTTAGGTCATCTCTCTTGGGCTAAAGATCTGGCTCAAGTAGTAGAGTCCTTGTCCAGAGCAAACACTGAGGCCCTGAATTTGAACCCTAAATATCACTCAAATAAAATTAATTCTGATTTTTGCAATAGTATTGAATTTTCAGGAATGTTATGAGGCCAATGCCAAGAACTCCTGTGTTCCCTTTAACCAAATTTTCTATTGTCCGCATTTGGCTATCTTTGAGCTCTCCCCTTTAAGGCACAGTCACCATATTCATGCTCAAATTGCTCTGGTTCTTGTCTAAGTCTCTCTTATAAACAATATGTGTAAACCCCAAACAGACACAAACCTTCTCTAGCCTAAACCCAGTGCACCTACTCAGCTTTGGTGAGCAATATCAGTAACAGAGCCACCCTTCCATTGACGTGTCCCATGCTATGCTCCCAACAGTGTGTTTTCTTCCTTCATAGTCTGGAATCCAATTTAGCATAGTGCATTGTGTCTGTTTAGCTCCTAAACTCTCTCTAGTCTTCCTTGTACTTGATAGTTGCGGATGGCACATTTTTTCAGCCCATCTGATATTCTTTAGCTTCAGTTCATTCCATATCTCCTCATGATCAGAGTCAGAGCATATATTCTTGGTGGGAACATCATAGAGACAAATGTTTCATTCTTCTTGATGAATTTCATGGAAAAGCACCTGCTGCCACCCTATGTCACCTGCAGTGATGGCCAAGCTCAGGCTCCTGCTCAAATAGTTTTTGCTGTAACAGCTAGATGCTCCAAACTAATATACTATACTTCAGCAAACCTCTATCTATTTACTTTAGCAATTATTAATAATTCCTGTCTGAGATGACCACCACCACAATGGTGTCCAAATGATAACTTTCTACATTCAACTTTTCTCCTTACACTCATCTTTTCTCCCTACATTTATTTATTCATGGCATTTTACTGAAAGGATGCTGCTTCCTCTTGCTCCCACATGCCTTCCCTCCCGTCACCTTCAGAATAGACTCAAGGATTCCTCTTTTAAGCAGCAGGTGGTAATCTGTTACAGTCATTATTTACTTTGATGCCTAAACTGTCTTAGATTTGGCCAGACTCCTATTTCCTTTCAACTTGTCCCCATCCTCTTTCAGCACTTTCCTACTTTCTGGTTCCAAAAAAATGTTATGGGCTTATGTTTTTCCTACCCAAGCCTTCATTCAAATCAAACATTTTTCCATGGGACCTTGGTTCTTTTTACTGGAAAATTCTATTTGAAAAGCAAGGTATAAGAGCTGAGTGGTATCCTGCTACAGGAAGATCATCATTTTCAGATGACTGAGATAAGAAATATGCGTGTATTTACACAGTAATACATGTGCACAACATATAATCATCTGTATGTATCTATTTATTTCTAAATATAAATACAGGCATATATTAAAAATGCTATGAGTTTATTTATATATCTCCAACTGTCACTTAACACTTTGGATATCTTTCTAGAATTCCCCTTTCCATATTTCTAAATCTCATCTCTAATTATGCTCTGATAGCTTAACAAATTGCCTTTGTACCAGACAGCTGCCCAGGTATTCAAACTGCCCTTCTAGTGCCCAGGGTAAGGGATACCCTGAAACCAGTAACTACACAAAAACTTCACAAAATCAGGAAGTGGATATATCTCTGTTCGACTCTGTCCTTGTCAGGAGAGCCTTCTTAACTAACCTTATAGGCTTCAAAAAATAATGAATAAAAAAGTATTACCACAGTGTCTCTGAGGGTCTGAGAAACAGGTGGTATATAATAAATTCAAAGGGCAATTGTTGTTGCCATATAGAAAACCTGTTCCCTTCCCCTCTTGTTCTACTCTGGTGGAGACTATTTTGGAGGTTCACTGCTGTTCTTGGGATTTTCTAAACAAGTAAAGCAACTAAATATTATATTAGGTGAAAAGGCATCAGTCAAACTGAATTACAAACAACTCTCAACCTCTGTAATTTTAGATTGTTTTCTTTAACTTTAAGAAAATGCAGCATGACAAGGGCAATACACATAAACCTGTCTTGTTACATACATGCTGCAACTCTGGAGTCACATTAGGTGCTTCATTTATGGGGAAACCCCAGATCAAAACAAAAAAACAAAAACAAAATACCTCCAGAAGTATCCAGGTGACCCTCGCCACAGATTGTTTTGCCTTTTCTTCAGTTTGCAGCATCACAGAAAGTGATACTCCCTCCTGATAAATATACTGTTTTGATGGAAATTGATTGGTTCCTGGAGGTTTCCAAGAATGCACCAAGTGGCTTTTTCAACAGCACCTAAAGCAGTTAAGTGGAGAGTCAGGACCCAGAAGAAGGGATCTACCCATTCCATTCATCCAACAGCTGTTTCCCAGCCTCCATATGGAAGATGCTGAGACAACTATTATTTGTGTCTGGCTATATTTCAGTTCATCAAACTGAGGGACATAGAGTTATAATCTCTGGTTCAAGCCCTTCCTGGGTCCATATAGAATAGCTAAGACAGAAGAATACATAGAGATCTTGTCTCATCATTTTATAGATAAGAACATTGTATAGGTGAAATTTCTCCAAAACAAGTCCCACTCAACCATGCATTACTCCCTCTTCCTCTCACAATTTTCCTCCTGCCTTTAGAAGCTATGTTTCGGCTAAGGGTCAGCTTTGGTTTTACATTTCAGCATATCATCCTGTCTCCAAATTATTTTAGCTGAGAGAAAATGCCACAGTAAGCCTTTCCTCTCATTCAGCCCCACACTGCACGCCTTGCTTAGTGGAAAGTGCATTAAAATGAGACTAATCCTGGCATTGCAATGCACCATCTGGTTGGATCTCTCCACATCCCTAAACCTTGGTCTCCTCATTTTTGAAATGCAGGCATTGGATTAGAATATCCAATCATTCAACAAACAAGTATTTTTAAAAAAAATTAAAATGTGCCACCCATCTAATTTATGATCTTGGATTCTTTACCAAACCTATCTTACCTTAGTTGTCCTACCAGAAGAGTAGAGAATCACAGGAGTACCCACATCATTGCTTTGTCATAAGCGTTAAATGAACTGACCACATAAAGTACTTACAGCAGTGATTAGTACATAATTCTCTGAGTTTGCTTGCTGCTATTACATTATCATCATCATCACTACTATTGCTATCATTCCCCAGTTCCTGCTCTTGACTTTGGCTATTTCCTCTGCCTGAGTTGACCTTGCTCTCATTTGCAAGTCCAAATTCTACCCAGGTATTCAAGAACAAGCTCAAATTCTTTTCTTCTCCGATTCTAACTGGCTCTTTCCTGAAGCATGACCCATGGTGTTAGCATCATAACTTTACCCACATGAATGTCACGTGAGTGCACGTATTACTACTCCCTCTAAGTTCCTTAAGTGTGGGATTCTCATTTGATTCATTTTCTAATCCATGTGTCCTGCACAGGACTCAGTTACTTCTTTAGTGAATTTGTTAATATTCACTGAATGGATGATGTACAGCCTTGTTTAAGTAGCAGGCCTAAATTGATCGTATAAATGGTGTTGATTTTCATTGTAACCAAAATGCATTGTACAGCTGATGGTGTAAACAAAAGTATTCTACATTAATAATCTCAAATTGTTGTTCAATCCACATTATCTTTGGAATTTTTAAATGTGTGCAAATACGACTCTTACCTCCCAAATATTCCAACTCCATAGGTTTCAATGAAGAAGTAATTCATGTTTAAAGGTTTACAGGAAATATATATGCAGCTGAAATAAAAAAGCTTACCTATGTATTACCTTTAACAGCTTTCTCAAGGTTTCCTCTCCCAAATAATGATTAATTTCGATGAACAAGCAATTAGCTTCAAAGGTTGTTGGTCTTTTTATGTTCATCACAATTAATGTCTCCTTTCCACACTAAAGAATCTCAGTAAATGATTCTCTTAAGAGGGAGCATATTGGAATGAACAAGTTGCTCAATGAAAAGACAGGTCCTGGGATAAACTTAAACAAATATGTGCAAAATTGCACTTCATGCTTTTTGTTTCTCTGGGTTTTAAATCCCCATTTTTAACAGCATCAATTATAACAGCAGCATGAAGCCTATATGAAAATATTGAGATTGGCATGGCTCTTCAGCATGACCCCACCACGGTAATGCTACTTGGCTTTGCTAGATCTGTATGCCAAGTAACTATATCTTGAGGGGGCTGGGAGTGTGGCTTAGTGGTAGAGTGCTTGCCTAGTATGTATGAAGC